GCACCCCGACAAAGAATGCGGCCACCAGCAGTTTGAGAGCGGGACTCTGCGCCTGCAGAACTTCACCGACCCCAGCAAAGCCAGCGCGGAGCAGATGCAGAGCCTGCCCAGCGCGGCCCCCCTGCAGCCCTCCAAGGAGGAGGAGGAGGAGCAGGAGGAGGAGCTGAACGACTCCTCCGAAGAGCTCTACACCACCATCAAAATCATGGCCTCCGGGGTCAAGCAGAAGGACCCTGACGTCCGCATGGGCCTCAACCAGCACTACCCCAGCTTCAAGCCACCCCCGTTCCAGTACCACCACCGGAACCCCAACGGCATTGGGGCCACGGCCACCAACTTCACCACCCACAACATCCCCCAGACCTTCTCCACCGCCATCCGCTGCACCAAGTGCGGGAAGAGCGTGGACAACATGCCCGAGCTGCACAAGCACATCTTGGCGTGTGCCTCTGCCAGCGACAAGAAGCGGTACACGCCAAAAAAGAACCCCGTGCCCCTGAAGCAGGCCGTCCGCCCTAAAAACGGGGTGGTTCTGCCCGGCCCAGCCGGCAACGCCTTCCGCCGCGTAGGCCAGCCGAAGAAGCTGGAGTTCGGCGCGGAGGCCAGCCGGGCGGCCTCCAACAAGCTGAAGCTGAGCGCCCTGAAGAAGAAGCGGCAGCTGGTGCAGAAGGCCATCCTGCAGAAGAAGAGGTCCCAGCAGCAGCAGCAGCAGCGGGCAGAGCTCAGGACTGGCAGCGCGGAGCCCAGCGCCCACGTCTGCCCGTACTGCAGCCGGGAGTTCACCTACATCGGCAGCCTGAACAAGCACGCCTCCTACAGCTGCCCCAAGAAGCCCCCTTCCTCCTCCTCCTCCTCCTCCTCCTCCTCCTCCAAGAAGAAGAAGAAGAAGAAGAAGGAGGCCAAGAAGAAGGCGGGGGGGTCTTCTCCTGGCAGCGGCAAGAGTGCTGTCAACCCTCGTCGGCGAACGGCCGACGCCGAGATCAAAATGCAGGGCTCTGCCACTCAGCTGGGCAAGACTCGTGCCCGCACCTCAGGGCCCACGGCCGCCCAGCTGCCCTCGGCCTCTTTCAAACTGAAGCAGGGCGTCAAGTTCCCCAAAAAAGGCCCCCCTCCCCCGCCCGCCTCCAGAAGCGTGGGCCCGGTGAGAGTGGGCAAGGCGGCCCCGCCAGAGGGGAAGCGCAGCAAGGCGGCCGCCAAGAGTGGGGGGGGCCCACCTGGATTGCTGGGCAAGGCCTCACGCAAGCTGCACATCCGCATCCAGCGGGGCAAGGCAGCCCTGGCCGGCCAGAGGAAGGCCGCCGACCGGTTCAGTGCCAAGTCACGGGAGAGGGTGGGAGGCCCCGTCACCCGGAGCCTGCAGCAGCAGCAGGGCAGCTCGGTGGAGGCCACAGAGGCCGGAAGGGAGGAGAGCAGCGCCCGGGCGGAGCTGAAGGACTCCAGGTGAGCTCTTCTGCGGGGCTCCAGGTAGGCCAGGTGCTCCTCCGGAGGGCAAGATGGGGGTCCTTCCCTTGACGGGGGCAGGAGGGGAGGACCAAGCCCCCACCCCCGGGTCCTGCTCCAGCCCATAGGGACTGGGAGGCGGATAGCCCTGCAGCCAGGGAGGGGCCCTCTGGCCAGCCAGGCCCTTGAGGCATACCCCACTCCCTGGACGGGTATCTCTCGCCCACAGCCCAGCCAGGGTTCCCCTAGTGGGTGGGGGCTTAGCCCAGCCTGCCTTGGAGTGGATTGGTTCACAGTGACGTTGAGCCGGGGCCTGAGTCCCGCGATGGGCTCGTCTGCAGACCTGGCCAAGCATTGTGTGCGACAGAGGCCACGGCAAGCATTGTGCCACCACCCTGGTCCTTTCTCAGTCGTCGCCCGCGGCTGCTCCTTTCCCCCTGGCCTTCCTGCGGACTGTTGNACTCCGTGGCTAAGCCTTGGTTCCCTCCCCTCCACTCTGGGGAGCAGGTTTGAAACTGACAAGGTGACCATCAGTTTCACACCTTTTTCCGGCCTCCTAACCCTTCCCCCTCCCTCCCTCCCTCCCTTGGAAGGCTACTTGGCCTGGGATAGTTAACAAGGGAGGGACGGAGGTTTAACCCACCTTGCCTGGAGAGGAAGGGATGAGCCTAAGCAGGCGCCCAGTCAGGAATGGCCATCAAAAGCCATGAAGATGCTAGGCCGGCCGGCCACTCTCTTCCCCATGAAGTCACCTGCTTCCTCCTTTGTCATCCCTTCCTCTCCAACCCCTCTGCTCTGCTGGGAGGCGGGAGGGGATTCAACCAGTCAGGCTGAGGACAGCCGCCTCTTCCGACAGCGATGGCCACCCCATGGCTGAGAGATCCAGTCTCATTGGCTCTTAATTTTTTTGACTCTGTCATAACTTTGAATGGTCACTGAATGAGACAATTGGTAAGCAAGGACCACCTGGGACTTTTTAAAAGGAGGGCTTTCCATTCCTAGGCCCTCCACCGTTGACTCCCTTGGTGCCATTTTTGTGGTCTTTAGTTCTGGGGCAGGTTCTGCCGTTTCTCTTGTGGCTTCTAAAGTCAGAGCCTGGGTGGAATTGCCCTCCTTCCCCCGTGGGGAGAAGAGTGGAGGGTGGTTTTCAGGGGGAGTCCGGTGAGGCCACAGGGTCTGGGGTCTGCTTCATGGTTCCCCGGCTACGTAGCCACCGTCCGGCCTCTTGTTCCCCTCCTGACGACCTTCAGCTTCTTTTAATAAGGGTCAGTTTGCAGGAGGGTGGATGCTCCCTCCCTCCCTCCCTCCCTCCCTCCGTGACTCCAGGCGCCCCCAATGTCGTGTCTTCTAAATATGTCATTTCTTCATGCAAACGCAGAGTCCCTAACAAGGAGGTTTGGTTGGGATAATCAGACTTGTGGGACATGTGACTTTGGTATCGATATTTCCTTTGGAATGCTTGTTGAGAGCGACGTCTGCGTCTTTGTGTGGTTTCAAGACTGTTTAGGCCTTGCAAGTAAAAACAAACCTCTCTAGTTAGTTACAAGCTCTGGGAAAGTTCCCAAACATTTAATGGGCAGGTTTAAGGCCATCTTGAAAACTAAAGAAACTAAAGTGGAGGCTTTGGGGTGAAAAATGGCCCTTGAGTGGCAGCCGCTATTCTTCCATCGCCTCCTCTTCCTTCCAGACAGACAGTCGGAAGGGGAGCTCTGTCCCAGAGCCTGACTCCTGGGAGCCACAGAGAAGGCTCGGAGACCTGCTGGGAGGAGACTTGTGGCTCAGGTCTCCTCTTGGGGAAAGGCGGGGGGTGGGTGGCCTTGCCTTAAGAGGGTCCTGCAAGCCTTGTTGTGGCTGGGGCTAGAAGAGACCCTGCTCTGACTGGCAGGAGGGCCTCTGAGCCTTGGAGGGGCTTCCCTGCCGCCGTTCCTCCCCTGGGGAAGGGGGAGCGCGTGTCCTTGGGGTTGCCCCTGGAGCCTCTGCCGGCTGGGCTCAAGCCGTGGTGGTTGGTTGGAAGGTGGGCCAAGGGCCGTTGGTGGGGCTGAGTGGACAGGCCCAGCATCCCTGGCTGCCAGGGGAGGAGTTCAGCCCCTTCCTTGGGCTGGGCAGGCGAAGGGAAGAAGAAGCCCCAGGCTCCCTCCCTCCCTCCTCCTCTTCCTCCTCCTCCTTCTGCTGCTGCTGGGATGATTCAGCCAGGAAACGTTTGGGCTTCCTGGGTGTGCGAGTGGCAGCCTTGTGCTGCGGTCCTCCTTCCAGCAGAGGGGCTGGGTGCAGCCCTCCCGCCTGGCTCGGCCTCCCTCTCTGACGCTGGTGCAGCAAGGCCCGCCCGCTTGCCTGCCTGCCTGCCTGCCTGTGACGAAGCCGAGTCCCGCAGGGTTAAAGAGTCCTTCCTGTTTGGCCGGCCAGGCCCTCCTCGGCAGGCAGCCTCTTCCCAGCGGCCCAGAGAGCGGCAGGGGCAGCAGCTGTGCCTGGTCCTCCCGGCCCCCGCCCGCCTGCTTCCTCCCCCTGCCTCCCCCTGGCTCTAAGGGGGCCGGCCGGTGGTGGGTGGGCGGCTGGCAAACAACCTCCGGTGTGATTGGTGTCCCGCTTTTGTCTCTTCCCTCCCGGCAGCCAATTGAGCCCGGGGATGAGCTCCTGGTCTGGTACAATGGGGAGGAGAACCCGGAGATAGCTGCTGCCCTGGAGGAAGAGAGGGCCAGCCACCACCGCAGCAAGAGGAACTCCCCCAAGGCCAAGAAAGGTAAGGCCCTCCTCCTCCTCCTCCTCCTCTCCCCCCCTCCCCCCACTGGCTGCCCTCCTCCACCGCCTGGGTGGGTGGGCCGGCTGGCTAGCCCTCCCTCTCCGCCTCCCTCCCTCCCTCCCTCCCTCCCTCCCTGTCAGCCAGCAGGAAAAGACGGCCAAGCAGAATGATAGTGTGTGTGTGTGTGTGTGTGTGTGTGTGTGTGCGCCTCCGTCTTCTGCCTGCCTGTTGCTGCTTGCGAGATCAAGAATGGCTCCGCTCGCTCAGGCGATGCCGCTTCCTTGTTCAGCCAGCTTTCCAGCCGGCTGCCTCTGGGTTTGCCTTCCCAGCCGGGCTCCATCCCCTCCCACTGGTTTCCCAGCCCCATCGGCCCCTNGCGGCTGCCCTACTCTGCCTTGGGCGGCGCTTGGTGCCTGGGGAACCAGTCTCCCACCACCACCACCCCGGCTTCAGGACATGGGCGAGCTCCTCAAGGCCTCCCTTACAAGGCGGGTGTGTGGTGGGTAGGACAAGCGGTCGTGAAGGTGGCTGATGGGCCTAAGGCAGCAGGTGCCTCTAGTGCAGGGCAGACCCTGAATAAAAGCAGAGAGAAGGAGGGAGAGAAAGAGAGAGAAAGAGAGGCTGTGTCTCAGACTCTACAGAGTGCATCATGCTCTGTCATAATCATCGTCCCGTGTCGCATCCCTTCAAAGCAAATGGTCCTGGTGGAAAAATGAATAAGATGCATATGAAATAACGGAGCTGTGAGGGGCTTTTACAATGACTTGCTAAAATTACTTCTAATTATGAGGCTTAAGGTATGACCGGTATCTGTTTTCTGTTCCAGGTTTTGTGTAATCACAAGAGCTGCTTCCTATTTCACTTCTCGGAGCACGTCAGGATTCCAGAATGAATCAGGTGAGTTAAAATGTAAGACTCTCATAATTATTTCTACTGATTTTCACTGGGTTCTATGTAGACCGGTACTAATCTGCATCCAGTGCCTTCCAATGGGCCCTTTTCCAAGGACCACGGAAGCTTCTTTTATGGTGGAGAGATAAGAACGGCCTCCATGCCCTGCAGCTCACTCCCCTCTTCTGCAGTGTCAGCCCCGTGAGGTCAAAGGCACATGCTTCAAAAACAGGTCTGTGTGAGCCTCAGCGCAGACACTGGAGTGAAAACAGTGTTTTAGCCACAGGTTCTTGGAGGAGATGGAGAGGAGGATCCAGCCCCTTCCCCTCTTTCTGGGGAAGCCGCCCATTCCCACCGGAGGAAGCCACCTCCGGCCACTCGGCCCAGGAATGCAACCTTGATTAAGTCTCCCGATTGCCTGCCTCTTGTGTGGCTGCCTTTGCCAGGACTGATGAGCTGTGAGGCTGCTTGTGGTGGAAATCCTGGTCTGTGGACCCCTGCCCTCCCTCCCCAGCAAGGGGACCAAAGGAAAGGCTGCTGTTCTATGACATTCCCTCTTTTTCAAAAGGAAACCTGTGTATATTGTGCTATCAGCTGATCTGGTTCCCCCCTCTCCCTCTTGTCCTTTTCTGAACTGCTGGGGGGGGGGGTTCCTGCCCTCCCACATGGGTTCACTGGTGCATTGATTGAAACTGCGGTTTGGGAGTGGAGAGAATGGGGACTTTGGGGGGATTTTGGGGGGAGTGTTGGTCTCCCAGGTGACATTTGTACAGGTGTTGGGGACCCTTGGGATTACTTGAACTGCTTGTGGGAGAAATCTTCCCCTGGAATAATTCAAGATGGCCGGATTACGTGCCATTGGCCGACACTTCCAGGGGTGAGCAACGACATGACAGCAGGGTCCCCGAACTGGTGCTTTTGCTTGGCCTGTGTGGTGGAGGTCGGAGGCTTGTCCCTGGGGGGGGGGGGGGGAGAACTGTGGGATGCTGCAGGGAAGAAGCCGCCTCCACCAGCGACTACACAGGATCATCCGTTTCCTTGACCCTGTAAAACTTCAGACCGCCTTCGGCCTCCCCTCAGAGGCCACCCGCAAAGGAGCAGTGGAAGCTGCTTGTCAGGCCTCTGTGCACCTCCTCACAAGTGGCCGGCCCCAGGTGACACCCCCCCCCCCAAGGGCGGTGTGCTTCTTCTCCACCTTGAAAGAAAAAAAGCTCTCCTGTCCCTGCTTGGAAAGGTTGGTCCCAGGAGCAAGTGTGGCTGCTCAGAGTCCTTCAGGTTTGGCCAGTTGTGAAAGAAAACCACCAGGAGCGCCTGAGACCCCCGGTGGTGGTTGAGAAGCCAGCGAGAATCCCCTTTGCTTGGCCTGCTGCTGGGTAATTGCATGAGCTCTCTGAGGGGGCCACGCTGTGACTTGGGGCTGGCTTGAACTGCGAAGGGTCCCCGAGGCTGGTGTGCCCCAAGGCTCTCCAGTTTCCACACTACCCCCAGGCATCGGAGCCCTTCTTGGCCCCTCTTGGCAACTTCCTCCACGCTCTCGCCTTCTTCCTTGCCGTTTTTCTCCTTCGTGCCCGGGGCCTGTGCTGCGTCTCTCTTGGTGTCGCCTCTCTGCCCCCTGTGCCAGTCTCCGCTCTTCAGCCCGTCCCAGAGACCTTTCTCTGCAGCTCAGGAATGCCCTGACCGCACATAGAGACCCCTTGGCGTCCGGGAGGAGGCCGAACTGCCTTTGCATTCACACACCCAGCTTCGGTCTCCGCGCATGTTCGTTCCGCTGGAGTTAGAAAGTAAATAAGTTGTGTTGTTTAGCATCAACTACATTGTGTTCTTCTCTTCTCCTTTTTCAGTGCCCTTTGTTGACAACTTGTAATGCCAGGTCTGTATACAGTAACCTCCTGCTTCTGAAAGAATGCTCGATCTTTCCTTCTTCCTCTGCTTTCAAGTGCTGACTCGCAATTCAGCTCTGCTGTTATCCTGGCTTATTCGAAGGAGGCTCGTTAATTTCTTACGGCACAGCTTTCTTGGATGAGCCTGGGGAAACAGCTTAATTAACAAGTAGGCTCCAAGATTCTTAGTTGTTGATTGATTATATTAATTTAAAGCATTTCACTCAGCTGAAGATGCTTCCGTGTAATTGCCTGGGACGAGAATAGGGAAAGTAGCATCCCTGACAGTTCCAAATGGCGCCCGCAGAGCCCCGGATTAAATTACAATGGAAACGGAAGGGCCGGATTCTCCCAAAACCATCCGGCCTCTGCAAGGTGCCAATATTTCTGCAGGGGACCCGGCAGCCGATCCTCGTGGCCCCGGCTGCTCCGAAACACGCCCATCTCGGCCCATCTTCCTCTTTACGTACCGTGAGGCTCTTCTGCTAGGAAGGCAGGTGTTCCCGGAGCCTTCAGCTGGCAACCTCCACCATCCTCTTTCTCTGGAAGTGAGGGACTGCAGGCCTCCCCCACCTCCTCAGAAAGGTCCTTCCCACAGTCCCTGGCTCAGGCTCAGGACGGACCACTTGTTACCTGACACTGATTTGAGTCAGAAGGCACGATTGGGTCGCGGCTAAGCAGAAGGTGGGGTCCAGTACGAGGGTGCCGCCCCCCCCCCCCCCCCCCACCCCCCGGTGCAGATTGGTTGCTTTCCATTCATTGTAAACTTCTTCATAGTAGTTTTTAAATGCAGTCCTGGAATTTTGCTTTGGTGTTGAATGGGTGGTTTGTTTAGAGACTGCGTGCCTGGAGGGTTCGATCCGAAGGCATTGGACGCTTGCGGCCTTTCAGGTGTCTTGGAGAATGTGTGGAGCCTGAACGGCAGGTGGCTTTGGGAGCCAAAGTTGGGGGAGGGAGGGAGGAAGGAGGGTGCGTGCCAGCAGGGCAGCTGTCAGGAGGACCCGCTTGGCTCCGTCCCCACCTTTTCTCCCTGCTGACCTTCCTTAGGACGCTGGCAAGGAGTTTGTGTTTGGAAGGTGATGTTGGAGGAAGAGAGGCAGGAGAAGGTAGCCCTGCTCGACCTCCAGAGCCCCTGGGGGAGGGCAGGACAAGGAGCAACGGCAGGAAGAAGATCGTCGTCCAAGAGAGACCCAGAACTCCTGACAGTCAGGACAGTTAATCAGTGGAACGGGGGAAGAAGCTGTGGGGGCTCCCACCACTGAAGGCCTTCAAGGAGAGATGGGGCAGCCATAGGACCCGGAGGCCCCTATTGCTCTTCTTTCCCACCACTTACACGGCTGCCCGGCCACAGACGTGGGACCAACATGGGCCTCGTCAGAGTAACGGCCTCTTTGCAACAGCCCCACTCGGGGGGAAGGGGGGTGCCTGTCCCCTCCTGCTGGAGGAGCGTGTGGAGAGGAAGGGGTCCTTTCTGTTTGGGAGCCCGGAGCCAGCAGGGTTGGGTTGCGGGGGATTCGAGGGATTCCCGAGGGAGAGGCTGAGGCTCTGGGCCGACTGCAGCATGGGGGGGCCTCCTGCCTCCTGTGCTCACCTGGGCCCACTTCTTTTCTTCTCTGTCCCGGTTCCCTTTCCAGAACCCAACCGGACCTTCAGGAACAGTTGAGACTTTGGCCGATGTCCCCCAGCACATCCTCCAAGGGCTCCCGGAGGAAGTGAGGCTCCTCCCGTCCACTGTGGACAAGGCCCGGCTTGGTGGGTGAGCCAAGAACCAGCGCCTCGAGCAGGGGGAGGAGTGGGGGCTTCTTTCTGCAAGCAGCGGGGTGCCCAGCAGGGTCCGGCCCCCGGGATGTGCACCAGCTTCAAAAGCTGGCAGTGGGTGCAGTTGTTCCTGGGAGATGACTGGGCAACGCCTTAAGAGCTCACGGATGATTCTCAGCCTGTGCTTAATGGGCTTAATCCACATAGTTTTCACCCATGTGCCCCGTCCGCCTGATGGGCCTTGGCGGGAGGATGTTGCCTCAGAGCAACCAAGGGATGCCCAATCTTTTATGAAGGTGGGTGCAAACCTCAGGCAGACCGGGGTGGGGTGGGGTGGGTGGGGGTGGAACAATGGAAGAACAGCCTGGGAAGGCCATGTCCAGGGAGACCAGCAGCCACCCCAAGAAAGCCCTGGGGTTGGGGGTTTCTGTCACAATCGAAGCCCTTCGTGGGGGGTCTTTGACCCACAGCGACCACTCGTCCCTGTGGCCCATTCTGTGACTGTATCCCTTTGGCCAAAGTTGTTGTGCCTTGTGGCATTTTCCTCCCTCCTCCCACCTGCCCACGGAGCTGCAGAGGCCATGGACGGGGCCTGCTCTCTTGCTCTGGACTTTGGCAGGGAGGAAAGGCCTCACAGCACTCGGGGGTCTCGGACCCTTCACCACGGCAGCCAGCCAAGGCCGCGGGGAGGCTCACCACTCTTTTCTCTCTCTTTGGTCTTCAGGTGTCTGGGCCACAAAGCCCATTTTCAGAGGCAGGAAGTTTGGCCCCTTCGTTGGCGACAAGAAGAAAAGGTCCCAAGTCAAAAGCAATGTGTACATGTGGGAGGTAAAGCGGCCCCTCCATTCCCGAAGGGGGAGGGTCTCCGGGGGAGTAAGGAGGGAGCCTGGGGAAGGAATTGGGGGGGGGGAGTCCTCAGGCTGAGGCTCTGACCATCCCTTTTTCTCCTCTCCCCCCCTCCCCCCAATCTTCCCCTGCTGGAACACTTGCAGGTCTACTACCCAAACTTGGGGTGGATGTGTGTGGACGCCACGGACCCTGCGAAGGGGAACTGGTTGCGTTATGTGAACTGGGCGCGTTCAGGAAAGGAGCAGAATCTTTTCCCCTTAGAAATCAATCGGACCATTTACTACAAAACATTAAAGGTAGCGGTTGCCTCCCTCCCTCCCTCCCTCCCTCCCTCCCTCTGTGATAAATTACCTGGTCTTGAATTCCTTGTGAGAAAGGGGGCTGGCTCCATTGAAGGAGGGTGGGATCCAGTCTTTCTCCGCCTTCTTCCCTAGCAGGAGCCCTCAGCCAGGAATGTTGTCACCAGAAAGAATGGGACCTTTCCTTAAAAGTGCATTTAATGTCTTTGGCTCTTGGAAAGGATTTTAATGGGTCAACACGGTGCAAAACTTTCCAGGCTCCCGTTTTCCCCCTTAGAATCTAGGGTTGCCAGGCTTTTAAGGTGCCCCTTGTGTACCTTCAGCCGAGGACATCCCTTCCCAGCAGCAGCAGCAGCAGCCGAGGGAGGGAGGGAGGGAGGGAGGGAGGGAGGGGAAGGGGCTCCCTGTCGGGGAGCAGCGCCTTTCATTTCCCCAACTTGGATGGAAGCAGGATAAGGGCCCCTCGGCCACCGGTTCTTTCTCTGCTCTCGGCTCTGGGGAACCCGGTTCTGCTTCAAAACTCAGTGTGTCTTTCCAGAGGGATGGGTCAAAAAAAGGCCAGGGATTTTTCCTGAACAGGATTCCCAGAATGGCAGCCTTTTGGAAGAGCCTCCGGTGTCACCAGGCGTCCAGGCAGAGGCTGCTGCAGGTGTCGCAACACGGCTAGGGGGGCGGGGGGGGGAACCTTTCTTTGCAGAGGCTTTTCTCTGGCCTTCGGCCTAGCCTGGCAGCCCCGTTTAGCAGCAACTCCGTGGCTAAGCCTTGGTTCCCTCCCCTCCACTCTGGGGAGCAGGTTTGAAACTGACAAGGTGACCATCAGTTTCACACCTTTTTCCGGCCTCCTAACCCTTCCCCCTCCCTCCCTCCCTCCCTNTGTGTGTGTGTGTGAGAGAGAGAGAGAGAGGGAGAGAGTCCGCCTGCTCCTTGGACTCTGATGGAGGGGCTCTAAAGTTACAGTTGCTCTCAAGTTGTCATTCTGGCTGTTTTTAGTAAGCAGAGCAGCTGCTGGCCGAATCGCGGCGGTGAGGGTTAAACCTGCCTTAAGGTCACCCGCGCTGAATGCCAGGACGGCTGCTTGAAGGGCCGGGGAGGGGGGTGTCCTCCCTCGCAGGGGCCGGGGAGCTCTAGGAACTCTGGGGAAGATTGAGCCTGCGCGCCTCACACTCAACCCCAGATGGGCTCAGTGTGGTCCCTCAGCATGGCCTCCGGGCCCCCGGCAGAGCGGAGCCCAAGTGGGGATGGTTCAGTCGGAGGGGACCCCCAGAAAGCCTTCCTGGTGCTTTGTTCACCAGCTGGGCGGCTGCTGTGGAGTGGGGGGGTGGCTCTGGAAAGAGCTTGGAAGGAGGGCAACAGGGCCCCCCCCGGGGGGGGGTTGGGAGATGTGGGGGCTCCCGTCCAGGGGGCTCCCAGAGGGAAAGTGCTGAAGAAGCTCCGTCTCCTGTGCTCCTGTGCCAGCCGCCCCCTGGCCAGCATCGGCATCCTCCTGGCTTAACCGAACATGGAGGAAAGGGGGGGGGGGAGCGCCTAGAAAGAAGTGCTACATTTAAACGCCAAGTTTCTTCCTTTCCTTGCTAGCCAAGAAAAAGGCCCAGGAGGCTAAGAACAGAGGGAAGAAAGCCAGGGACAGGAAGCGGAAGCCTCCCCTGGAGGGTCTCAGCCCTTTCGACATGAGGGAGACCAAGGAAGGTAAGGAAGGGGGCGTCTCTCTCCTGCTTCCCTCCTTAAGGGACCTTGGGGGGGGGAGGTGAGATGGGGGGGATTGAGGAACCGCTAAGCACCGGGCCGGGTCGTCATCTTGAGGTCTGCAAAGCACCCCCGTTCTTTGAAGCGTGAAAGGAAAGGCAGTGCACCCCAAGCAGCCCAGAGGGGGCTTGGCCCTAGAAGGAGGAGCCCCTCTGCGGAGGAAACAGGACCCGCTTAGAAGAGGGGAGGGGGGAGGTCAGGGCCATTGGGTGCTGCATGGGGTGGGGAGAGCAGGCTCTCATGGGAATTGGACCTAGAAGTGTATTTTTGTAATAATTTTATTGGGTGAGAGTTTTGCTTTAAAGGGGCAATGCGTTGCACGTAAAGTACCGTATTTCTCAGACTATAAGGTGCACCTAGCCTTTGGAGGGGAAAATCTACCTCTGCCTCCCAGCCATTTGCCTCCAAACAGCAAAGAGCCTGGTCAGCTTCAGCACAGCCTGGTTTAGCTTGAGCAGCTGATTGGCGGTTGGATCTGCCTCCCGGAATACTATTGCCTATTAGCAATTCCAGGCTGTGGGGATCGCCGTCGCCCAGTGCCGCTGCCGCCTCTGTGCGCCCCGCTTTCCTCCTCCACGCGTGCCATTTTTGGCCGCCTATGCCCACTACCTGGAACAGGCCAAAAACGGGATGTGCGGAGGCCGAGAAAGGGGCACACAGTAGCAGTGGGCGACGGCTGACCAGGCTGTTGGCTGTTTGGCGCAAGGAGGCAAACTGCTGGGAGGCCGAAGGGGCTGGCAGGTGGGCAGGTCTTCAGCAACATTTACTCTATAAAACGCACAGACATTTCCACCCACTTTTGGGGGGGGCGGGGGGGAGTGTGTCTTCCAGTCCAAAAAATACGATATTCGTGGCTTGCCAAAGCAAACCCCCCCCCCCCCCCCCCCCGGCGGGTGATGGGGGGGGGCGCTTACTTTTTTTTTTTTTTTTTTTTTTTTTTT